AACTATTGTATATCTTTGTGTGAAGGGTTCTTCAGATATTGTAGTTATTTGTAGTTATTTGTAGTTTCAACTATAATAATAATAATAATAACAATATTATTTCAGAATATAAAGTTTATAAGATAAGAATAAAAAAAACAAATGAAAAAAAATTTGCAAACACAGATATATATATATATATATATATATATATATATATATATATATATATATATATATATATATATATATATATATATATATATATATATATATATATATATATATATACTGAAATAATATTAATCGGAAGATGCAAAAGTAGATGGTGTGGTGCTAATAAGATGGTATCGATATGATCTAGTCTCAATTAAGTTCGTCGCATTTATGTGTTTTAAAAAGTTTTACCGTTTATTTTTTGACAAAGTTTTTAATGTATTGTGATTGAAAAACGTTGTTTATTACATTTTAAATTAAAATTGTTATTTTTAAACGAAAAATAAAATCTGTCAACAATTTCTCTTTATTTTTTCTTGTTCAAGTGCAAGTGAAACGAATGATGGAAAAAAAGAAGTATTCAGTAGGCTTGCAATTTTCTTTTTTTTTATATTTTTAATTGATCTGAATAATTTTATTGTTTTTAACTAGTTGAATGATGAAATTAATTATACAAAAGATTGGCTCTTTAACTTTTATGTTAAATATGTTATTTCCTTGTTAACTGATGTCTGTCATCAGTTAATGTCTGTCATCAGTTAAAAATATACACATAATAACAACAGATTTATATTTTGAACTGTTCGCAAAATTTTATGTTTAGATACAAAAAACTAAGTGAAAAGGATACTGGAAATATACATTTTCTTATATCTAAACATCATTGTAGCTTTCTAAGCTTCTTTTTTGTTTATGTGTATTTCATCTGTGTTGCTAATGAGATTGCCAGGTTTATGATTTTATGTTGTTATTCAACAAAGGATTTTTAAATTGTTATGAGTCTACAACACTTAATTTCAGCGAAATTTAATTAAAAAGTCATGTTATAGAAGACAGAAAATTATCAATATCTGTTTTTAATCACTTGACTTTCTTAGCAAATCTGAGGGGTGCAAATGTTTAGCTTGATTTAAATACTACATAATAAAATACATCGTTGTACAACCATTTTGACGGTTGTAAATTTTTTTAGCGCATTCGTTTTTAAATATATATTTAGACTGTTTACCATTTGACTCCTGTTCCAATCTAACCTAGTGGGTTCAAAAAGATGGGACCGCGTTGGAAACATAAATGGATTAAAATGATCAGCCTATTTTGAGTTAATAGTTGGTAAGTATAATGTCCTCCACTTAGCCAGTCAAGTTTCATTTGCTTTTTTTGTATTACATTTAAGCAATAGACTGTTTTGTATGTTCACTCGTTTTTTAGTAGTGGTAACCAACTAGAACTCGTTATCTGCTCGTATAAAAGGATTTCTTGACGTGAAGTTCTTAATTTTATTCAACAACACCAAGAAACTGAGCTCGCTCAAGAAACAGAAAATAAAGAGAAAGATGAAAAAATATTCTGTTGAACAATACTATTGTTTTATTTAGAAATTATTCTCCTATATTTAAACATATAAAAGATGTAGAAAATGCTTCCTCTTTTATATTGACATCTAAATTCTTTTAGGTAAATGGTTTTTTTCTAAATGGGTTTTTTTTCGGCATCGGAAAGTGAATTTTGTCTTACTCTGTATGAAACTATTATCATTTTCATTTGAAAAAAATAGCTTTTTATATATGAAAATTAGGAATACTATAGTGTATAGGATACTATAATATACTAATAAGTATGGCAAAAAAGTTGTTCCGACCCTAAGAAAACACTTTTTTAGAAGTGCATAATTGATAAACAAAGACATCTTATAGAAGCATTTTTTATGTCTTTTCATGATAAGATAAAGACAAAAAAGACTATCTATGTCGAAAAAAGATGTCGTTTAGATTTGCATATTCGACTTAAAGAAAGCGTTTTAAAGACGCATTTTTTATGTCTTTAAATGACAAGATTAAGATAAAAAAAGACGTCTTTTTGATGTCGAAAAAAGTTGTCTTTTAGATTTGCATAATCGATTAAAAGAAGACGTCTTAAACACACCGTAAATAAGACTTTTAAAGACGTCTTTTCGACTTCTTTTTTCCCACTAGGTAACAATCAAAAAAAATTAATAATATTAATAAACTGATACTAAAATTAAGCAGATAAGTTTAAAGCATATTGTGAAGTTTGCTTATTAAGTGAGGGACTTTCCCATTTAATGTGGAGGGCTTCTTTTATCTTTAATATGTGTTTGGTTGGGGCAACACTCAAAACCTCAAAAGAATCACAGTTAGCCAGATTTTTGCATTTTACAGATAAGTTTGAGTATTTAAATATACGAGATTACTTATCTCTTATAAGGTGCTCATTTATTCTAGTTGCCAAATGTCTCGAGGTATTTCCGATATAAGTGGCATTACAGCCAGCGCAAGAAAGTTTATAGACAACATGAGCTGTAAGCAATTTACGAAGTAACTCTTATGAAGTGAAACAAAAACAACCATGTATTTTATAAGTTGTGAAAATTAGTTTTATTAAAACATCCTTGCAATATTTATAAATAATTTTTGAAATTTTCATTTTAGTATAATTAGAGTATATTCCAATGTATTGATGCTTAAAGCGACTTATATTTAAGCTATTAACAATGTTAGAAACAGATAGGTTCATTTTCTTAACAATATAGGCTTTAATTTCAGAGTCAATATTTTTATGTTGTTTATAGAGGTGTTTAAAAAATTCTTGAGATTCATATTTAGAAATAAAAATCGCAACTATATCATCTACATACCGTTTATAAAATAATGGTGCTGTAAAGGAGCAGTTAATGATCCATGTTTTTTCATGAAATCCGACAATAATATTAGCTAAGATGGGCGCTAAAGGAGAACCCATAGCGACACTATCCGTTTTATCGTAATATTTTTCGTCAAATAAAAAATGTGAACCAGATGTTCACATTTTTTATTTGACCAGATAACAAACTTCACAATATGCTATAAACTTATCTAATTAATTTTACTGATAGTTTATCATTATTATTAAGAATTTTTGAAAAACGTTTTGAATTAATTTTATCTTTAAAAAAGCAGTTGCTATGTTAATGGTTTCCTTAAGTGGAATGTTCGTGAACAAACTTTCAACATCAAATGGTTTAATAAGTTTATTAGTTACATTAATTTGTTTTAATTTTTCAACAAAAGATAATGAGTTTAAAGTGCAAAATTGTTTAGATATATGAAGAGACAATAAATAAGATAAATTTTTGGCAAGATTGTAATTATATTTTCCGATTGTTAAGATGATAGGTCGAAATTTTGGAAAAGAACTATCTTCACTAACTTATTGCATCTTAGGTAACGCGTAAGTTCTTCCAAGTTGAGATACTACAGGATCGATTTTAGTGTCTTTTTCAAAACATTTAAGTTTTTAAAATTTTTCAAGATAATTTTGTAAAGATATTTCTCTTTTTATAGTTGGATCACCTTCTTACTTATATTATTATGTAATGAATTTATATACTCAACATTATTAAAAACAAATTATAACTTTTCCTTTGTCGGGTCGTGTAATACCATCTAACAAATGAGCACCTTAAAAGGGATAAACAATCTCATATATTTAAACACTTAAATTTATAATTTGAAATAATCTTTCTAACTGTGACTCTTTTGAAATTTTGGATAATGCCCCAACCAAACACAAATTAAAGATAAAAGAAGCCATCCAAATTAAATTGGAAAGTCCCTCATTTAATAAACAAACTTCACAATATGCTATAAACTTATCTATTTTACTATTTTACTGACAGTTTATCATTATTATTAATTTTTTTTGACAATTAGTTGTTTTGATTGGTTATTTACCAAGTATTTTCTGTTAATTACATTGGTTAATTATGTCAATTTTTGTCCGTTAATATTTCTCTGTAAGGACTTCTAATTTTTAATAGTTATTTCAGATTTTTATTAATGTAAAATAATCTTTTGAAAATGTAAACAAAAATTTACGAAACATGTCAAGAATGAAAAACATCGTGTTATTTTAAAAAACAATTACTTATTTTATGCTAATATGTCGGAGAATAATATATATATATATATATATATATATATATATATATATATATATATATATATATATATATATATATATATATATATATATATATATATATATATATATATATATATATATATATATATATATATATATACATATATATATATATATATATATATATATATATATATATATATATATATATATATATATATATATATATATATATATATATATATATATATATATATATATATATATATATATATATATATATACATATATATATATATATATATATATATATATATATATAAATATTTATATATATATATATATATATATATATATATATATATATATATATATATATATATATATATATATATATATATATATATATATATATATATATATATATATATATATATATATATATATATATATATATATATATCAACTATAGCACATTTATATGCGCAATCGCTCACTTTTTTTGCTAGCCTAAATTAAGTGAGCATTTTTAGATAATGAATAAAAAAGTTGCTGACTCATATTAAACCCTCAGTCAATGTAGCAGCACTCCACTGCGAGTCAGGCTATTTGTCAGTCAAAGTTTGTACTGAAGCTTCTGGCAGCAGGCTATTATATATATATATATATATATATATATATATATATATATATATATATATATATATATATATATATATATATATATATAATGTATTACATTATTTTATTAAAAATTAAACATGAGGTAAACTTAAAAAACCTTTTGTTTATAAATATATTTTTACTTTTAAAACCCGTTTAAAAAATTAACCATTCTATATCATGTTGTTTTAATCAGAACAACGATAGCAACGACTTACCATATGCTCCATCCACATATTTAAATACCAAAAATGTAACCACTATTAAAGCTATCTATAATAATAAACAAAATATTAGCATTTTATTGCTTTTGATAATATTGATTACGCTTATTTTTGAATAATTTAACTTAATAATAAGCAATAAAAAAATTAAAACAAAAAAGTAGCGAAAAGTTTATTTGTTTAGTTTTGGTCAAGTTTTTTTCAAATAAAGAAAAAAAAATTTCAAAACCTTTTCCAAGTTACAACCGCAGTGTTTTATTCTGACAAAATTCAACGCAATTTTTAAAAATAATGTTACATAATTACAATTTTATTTGCATGATGACAAATAAAATCAGTTAAAGCAAATTAGAAATTTTTCCAAAATATTTTTTTTTTTTTTTTTGAGTTTATTTAGGTGCTTTTTAAACTTACTTCATTGAGTTTCGCGGAAAAGTATTTAACCAAGAAGTTCACGTCTCCTTTCTAACCAATGCAATTTACCTTTAATGTAAAATTGCTCAAACATCGAACCACTAGGTTCTGCATCAAAACTCTAACCACTGCGCTAAGTTTTATCCTCAGACTGGATGATGAAATCTATTTCGAAATCATAATATTTTGTCGGAATACAATTGTCATAGATGCAGTTAATTTGGTAGTAGGTGAATTAAGGTTAAATTTACTTTGTTTTGTTAAATTTATGTTGTTACTAACAATGTTTTAAAACTTGAGAATAATTTTCGTTTTACTGTCCATTGCATTTTTTTTTTCTATAATTCACTATTAGTAACCAATTTGTTGGCATTGGGTTTAGAAAAATTCAGTTGTTAATATGCAAGCTTCTTATTTAGAAATTAATAACCTTCTTATACAAATATAATTATTAAATAATTTAGTATGATGTAAGATTTCAAAACCGCTGCGCTTCCAGATTTTTTTGTCTGTTAATCAAAAGGAGAACTACTTCACTTACTTTAAATACATCATTGTCTTTTTTACCCAGTTTAATTAAAAGAAAAACTTTTTAGAGGATGCTCCTCTTCTGTGCTCTGCTAGAAAAAGTCAGAAATGTTGAAGAAGATGACAAATAAACCTAATTTAATTTTTTTTTACAATTAGAAGATTTTGTCCGCAAGTCTGTCTCATTTTTTTTGTTTTCAATTATTGTTCATTAATTGTGTTTTAATTACCTTAAATCAAATTTACTATAATATTCATTGTAATATTTAAGTAAGCGTTGTGTTTTTACTTATTAGCTGGCCTTATATTTTGTAACACCTTTAAAAAAAGTTATTTTTTTATTATTTGTTATTACTATAATATTATTGCATGCCATTTGAATTCAATATTTATTTCTGGTCCGTGAGATTTAAGGTATATAGCAATTATTTGATGAATAATGACAATTGGCTGGAGAAGTCCATTTCTTCATGGTAAAAAAGCTTTTGTGCTTTAAAATACAGTAGGTTTTTAACTTCTAAGTTAGTATAATAATAATATATAAATGCTAGTTAGTTTTAACAATTATTGATATTGATGAAATTAGATAATAAATATGGCCTCTATAAACTAAGTGAATTAACTCTGACTTTGTAATTTATTAAAGTAAAATTGATAATACAAATCAAAAACTTATAAATAAGTAAATGCATTTTGAAAATTGCATAAACATAATTAAAAAAATACAATTCTTGTTTACAATTTCATTATGTAAAAGAGTAAAGTTATTAAATTTTTTCATACGAAAGTTTATTACTTTTAGTTTTTAGAAGTACATATGGATCCTTCAAAAAACTTGACAAAAAAATATAGTTAATTTCATTATTGGTGACCTAATATAGACTCGAAATAGGGCTGTAAGTTTGAGCAAAGAGACAAAAAGCCTTATGTTTGAACTTAATTTGTTTTTGACGTTTATGTTGTGTTTTATGAGCGTTTACTTTTGCTAATAGTTTTATTACATAGTTATTTGTTGTCTATTTTATAACTTTTGTTTTTTGTTTCTATAGCGAGAGAGAATTATAACTTTCGTAATTCAGGTCCGTAAGACGTAAGGCGTATATTTCAAAATGAAACAAAAAATAAGGCGTCCCAAAGACGCCCCAGTATGATTGTCCTTATGACGTCTGTAAGACGTCAGGCGTGCGTCCATAGGAAGTCTTATATGACGTCCTAGTTACGTGTATGTTTCGTCTTTTTAGAAATGACGAAACATATTTAAGTTGACACGTCTCTGAAACGTTTCCCTTTCTTATGATTGAGACGTCTCTATGTCCCTGCAACTGCAACTTAAAAAAACTAAACATGCGTTTTTTAAAAAAGAGTCTGGGTATAAAAATATTATAATTTTACTTTGGAAAAAAAACATTTTACTTTGTCAAAACAAGCTTCTTATTATTCTTATTAACTTAATAAACAATAGGTTAATAAGCATTTAGACTTTTTGAGGATATAGTTTGGGTCATCAGATAAGGCACGGTAATTTAGTTTTTAAAACAACATTACTTTTTAG